ACCTGAAGCACTATTTCTGGGTTAGCGGAGTCTGTAACCTGAAGCGTACGTAACCCAAGGTACCACTGTACTTTTATGGGACTACAACAAATGGCTGAGAAAAGGAATTAGCATGCTTTCCTCTCCACATCTTTCCTTTGTACCCACCACCATGACATTTGTACGCTGATCAAGCTAGTAGTGGCAGATTAGGGCTAGCGGCATGGCAGCTTTAAGAAGAAAGTTGCTCACATTGCTCTCAGAAAATGATAATCCGTACTGCCTTTGACCTGGTTGCTCCACCTTTGGCCAAGTCAGATCAAAGCTGTCTTTTGGTTGGAGGTTCTTCCTGGTCCCTTCCTGCCTCCTGCTTTTGCGGCTCACATTTTCTTATCTTTTCCTGCCCAAAGCAGCATGTTTAACAAGCCAATAACTGTTCCTTGACCTTCCCTGGAGACAGAGACTAAGGCCTGCCATGTGAGAACGTTCCCCTTCACTTTGATCTTGGCCGGCTTGGCTCCGTCCTTCCTGTCCTCCCCAGCAAAGCTCATTTATCACCCTGCTCTCTTACGTAGAATGGAAGGCACAACGGGGCTGACATCGTTTATCGCTGCAACATTATTGATGACCTTTCAAAGCTTGCTCAGGGCACCGCTCCACTCCAACACTCCTGAATTATGAGGTCATCAATTATCCAGGTAAATAAATGAGGTTTTCCAGAGCCCCGATCCGTTACACACCCACTCTCCACCCCACACCCACCCCAGTTTTGTACTTACAGTTCAAGTTCTTTAGCTATCAAACTAATTTTCCCTTCTGACCTTTTCCTGCTGGTTGGGAGAGAGGGAATCACTGAGTTTCTGGGTTGGTGCTGGACAAGAATAGCGCCTGAAAGGGTGAAGAAGTTAAATCCTGAAATATATTGGGAGCCATGAGTCGAAGATACACTAAAGGTGAAGATGAAAGTCACCAACGCAAGAAAAAATCATCCTGAAATGAAGAGGTTGACATGCACTGTAGTAGCTCTCTTCTGATCTAGGAGATGAACACGTTCAATAAATCCATGCAGTCAAATGTACAGAAGGCTGAGATGGTATGCAAGCACTTGTCAAGGTTGGGGTGAAAACCTACTGAATTTATTCCAGTTCCATTCTTCTGTATGAGCAATAGGGTATGGGGAGAGTGGACAAAAGATGTGAGTGTAGCCAGCACCGGATTCAGGGAAGTGGGGTCGCTTCTCCTGCACAGGGCACCAAGCCAAGGGGGCGAAAAATTGAGAAGATTCATTTGGGGGGCACCCAATTTTGGGCTCAAACAGGGTGCCGTATTATGAAATATTACCAAAATCCACCCCTGGTGTGACAAGCATGGGAGATGCCTTATGTTTGCAGACCCTGCACCCCAACTCAGTTTTACATTCATTTCATTGACCTCCCTTCCCCTCTCAGCTGCTTCTGAAATTCCAGCATGGACAATAGGAATGCGTAGCTGTAACATATACACAAGAATGAGGGCCCATTCTCTTGGCTTATATTAGCAAAAGAAACAGTAACCTGTAGAATTATTGCTGAACAAGGCCATCTAATCAGACGGTGGCTACCAGATGCCTCTGAAAATTGGTGCCTTTGGTTCCCTACAACTAGGAGTCGCTGATAGACTTTACCTTCATGAACTTGTCCACTCAAAGTTACCCAAGTGACGATTAACAAGCAGCGGGGCAGCTAATTCCTTCTGATAGTCTCTGAGAGAGCTACCTAAAGTCAACTTCAAAAAACTTGGGACAAGAGTTCAAAGGCATGAAGGCATGAGCCGCCCTGTTTTATCTTTTTCTCAGTAAAGGGAAAGAATTCAATGACCCAGCAATGAAAGCTTGGATTTAGTATACTAATAGTGATCTCAATTACCTGGGCCAGATTCAACTAACTCCCTTGAGAGTCAGCACAATGAATTCTGGTAGCTCAATGGGGTTTCTACCCCTTCTGCACCCACCCTCGTTTTGATTATGCCATTCCATAAAGCACCCTGTACAGTGATGGCATGACAATAAAAAGGCTCCCCCTTCCTCGCCCTGTAACACACAAATACACACCCTTTCATATTTGGAATTATGTTTTCCTTGAAGCAGCACTGTGTCAAGCGAATTGTGTGGGCAGATCTTGGTATCATTTCCTCACTTTCCTCTCTTCCAATGCTAGGATGCAGCAGCAATGAAGAATCTTTCTTTCACTGTAAGGTGATATGGCTGCATTCTCAGACTAGACCTCCTCACAGGAATCAATGACAGACTTGTGGCTATCAGAAGCACTTCGGAAGCAATCTCTATTGAGATGCAGATTTTGACTTTTCATCAGGTGACACACTTTCCCTGAAGCACTAAGGGGAACAAAGCTCTCTAATTACTAGCAGTGATGGGGGGAAAGGCAGAAGAAAGGTCAGGGTCTACTTATGACAGGCAGTTTTGGGAGGGGGCCATGGGCTCTCACTCTTCCAAGGGCTTGGGAGGACTTAGGAGGCAGGTGCCAAAAACCTCCATAACTAGCAGGGAGGGGAAGACAGATGATTGACCTTGGACAGTAGTAGCAGGAGGCAGCTTGAGGACAAGGTCCTAGCTGTGCTTTGAAAAATGCTTCCAAGGCCTTATTTTGCTTACTATTTTTCTGAAAAGAAGGACACTGGCATCATCACCACCTATATCTCATAGCTAAATGCCCATTAGCATTCAAGGACAAAACCGTCTCTGCCCCATACTTTACTACAGAAACAAGTTCTGTTTAACCTATTAGCACCAACATTTCTCCAACAAAAACAGGGGCATTCTATTCAATGCTACTACTTCTACTACTAATTGTATTATTTATACCCCACCCATCTGACTGGATTGCCCCAGCCACTCTGAGCAGCTTCCAACATATATAAAAACATAACAAAACATTAAACATTAAAAAAACTTCCCTATTCAGGGCTGCCTTCAGGTGTCTTCTAAAGGTTGTACAGTTACTTATCTCCTTGTCTGGGGGGGGGGTGTCACATAAATTCATACCTGCCAAGATTTCTCCAATGAAAATAGGGGCGTCCTAAGGAAAAGCAGGACATTCTGCAATCAAATCAGAAACTGGGATGGCTTCTGTAAATCCAGGACTGTCCCTGGAAAACAGGGGCACTTGAAGGGTTTGCAAAATACGGGAGGAGGGGAAGGACTTTGGGGTGTGGGGAGCAGGCAAGGCAGAACCAGAACCGCCTTCTAAAGTGTTGGCATCAGTCCACACACACACAAAAATCACAGAATACTTAGAATGTGCGGAGTGTGTTTCATTAATGACATTCTTTATCTGTTGCCCGCAAACCTTGGATTAGCAGGGGGAAAGCTTAAGGGCATGATTCCCAGGCTGGCCCATTTTAAGCTGGTTTTTCATACATAATTAGAACAAAACAAAACAAAAAAGGATCCATGCTGAACCTAGTCAAGCATCCTACTCCTAGTAGCCTGTGGGTTTGCCTCTGTAAACCCACAAGTAGGGCATGAGCCCAATAACACTCTCCTGCTCTTTGGGCCCCTATCAGCTGGTATTCAGCAGCAAAGAACATAAGAATATAGACTGAGGAAGCAGTCGTGTGCTGCCTGATTCCTTGAGAGTAAGTGCTGCTGAAAACAGCTGGATTTGCTTAAGTAAACTTGCATAGCCTTAGCTATAAATCACGAAATGCAGTGGTTAACACAAAGCACGTGTTCTGCGATTGCTGAGATATAAAAACTTCTCCCTCGTTATATGTGTGTTTGTGTGTGGGGAAATTCAACACAACAATCCCAGCTGGGCAGATATGATATGAACACTCATTGCTTCCTCAGCGACTGCAGCTTTAAGCCCTCTACTGTTTATAACGAGGAGGAAAGAGTACAACATCCATGAGATCTACAGTTCAGTCAGGGTGCCCAAAGCTACATGATCCCATTAAGCCTACAAATCAGAAAACAGGGAGACTCTAATGGAGAAAGAAGCATTTACAAGACAGGGGCCTGCTGGTGAATTAACCTTTCTGTTCCGATTGCCACATAGTGGCTATTTAGTCACCAGCTGAGAACTGGCTAGTAGTTCTTGTCCCTACATTCATAACAAAGGAATCTCCTTCTGAATTTCCTGTAAAAAAAGAAGGCCTTTCCTCATACAGAAAGAAGAGGAGACACAGATAGCCTGCAAGAAGGATGGCAGTTCATCTGCCATATTTTATTGTTTGGTGAAAGCTAGAGTCAGAGTTAAAAATGAGGAGTTTTTCATTTATTTGCACACTCTCTCCCCCTCTCCTACACACAAATGCAGAACAAAACAAAACATAAAATTGCAAAGCAGCAAAAAGGAACAAAGAACAACTTCAGGTGGAGAGCAGGTAAGGAACAACAGCCCCCCCCATATTAAAAAAAAAGGATTAGCTATGAAGAACTGGTACAGCCTCCTTAAAGACTAGGCCTTGGGACACGTGCCTGCTGGAATGGTAGCTGTGGACGATTTCTAGGAGGTGACAAAAGAGAGAATTGGGTATTGCGAAGAGCAGGGAAGGAGAAGAAGAAATTGACAGAAGGGTGGCATGTAGACTGCCGGAGCCTCCTCAGCGTTTGGCATTCTTCCAGCCTTAAGATTTATATATCAACATATTTAGCAACAACCAGGTAACTAAAGGAGCCCCGAAGCCTAACATTTAGCACAGGCAATGAAGAACTTTTCTGAAAGGGTTTCCCTCCTGGGTGATCTCTGCTGCCTGGAAAACTTAGCAGCCTAGCATCAGTTTTAAAAGGATTGCACGCAGATGTTAGGACTTGCCCACAACCAGAAGTTTCCCATGGAAAGGGATGGTCCAAGACACAGCAGCATATGGGCTCAACATCCACTCCCAGATGGAGTTGCCATCAGCAACTCATCCTCCCCACCTCGCTGCAAAACAGGACAAAAAGGCCAATTAAAAAGCAATAGGCAAACATCCCCCTTGCTCCTTCTGTTCCAATTTGTGCTCTTTCCTTTTTTTTGTTTATAGCGGATAATTGTGGGCACGTCTTTAATCTTTGTAACTCACTTTGTTCCGATCACATTTGTCTTCCCCTTCTTCTATCTGTCCCCCCGCTGAGACCAGGAGTTTAAAATTCCTTCTGGCTATTAATTAAAAGCAAGCTCTCTGTTATAGTAAGTGTACTTGCCACAAATTAATAGCGGCCTTTCTTAATCAAATCTTATCTCCTCCGAACGCACGGTGCGGGAGTTTGGTATCTTGGTCCGCCAGGGCATGAAATTTAATTTCCCCTACCCCAATTCCTCACAATTTGGGTCAGATAATAGGAAGGAAGGAAATAAACATCCCAACCCATATCTGGACAACTGTGTTTATGTTTCATGTGAACTCAACTGACACAGACAAAAGCCTTGGAAAAAAGAAGAAGAAAAAGAAGATCAAAACACGGCACCAGAATCATCTCCCCAAAGACGTGTTCCATTTCTCAGCCATTTACCTCGTTTAGACACAGCTTCAGCAGACGGCCCTAACATTTTTGCATTATTTAAAGAGTACAGAACGAGCAAGTGGGTTTATATTTCCCAACCTGCGTGTGGATTTCAGTAAGTTACAAGAGCTTCACCCCCCCCCCCCGGTCTGTAAGCTTCTGTGGGCAGATGGGAATGTTAACATCACCCGTGCTTGCTGCATGCTGAGTTCATATACACTCGCTAGCAAGAAACCCATGGGCTTCACCTCTGGAAACAGGGCAATTTGCCATACCCCGACTGTGATCTTGCCGTGGGCTTCTGCTGCTTTCCATATTTGACTTCTTGGATAGCAGAGGTTATGAGCCGGCAAGTTCCTGGTGCAAAGCTCACCTGAAATCAATAGCTAGCCTTAAATAAGCCACCCTCTCTAAGCCTCAGTGTGCATGTCCCCATCTGCTACAGCATATTTGGCTTCTCAGGTAGCACAGAGACCCACGACACGAGCTGTGAAATCATTAGGTGGCCTCAGGTAAGCCACAGTCTAGGCCATCTTATGATATGCCATCTTCAAATATCTCAAGGGCTATTACATGGAAGAGCTTGTTTTCTCCTGCTCTGGAGGGTAGGCCTTGAACCAATGGCTTCGAGTTACAAAAAATGAGATTCTGACTAAACATGAAGGAAAAACTTTCTGGCAGTAAGAGCTGTTCAACAGTGGAACAGTCTCCCTTGGGAGGTTGTGGACTCTCCCTTCGTTGGAGGTTTTTAAGCAGAGGTTGGGTGATCATCTGTCATGGATGCTTTAGCTGAGATTCCTGCATTGCAGGGGGTTGGACTAGATGACCCTTGGGGTCCCTTCCAACTCTACAATTCTGTGATCCTCAAGTCTCTATCTGCTATGTGGGTAAAATAATATTGATCTAGTTCATATGGTTGTTGAAAAGATTATTAAGGTAATGTATGTGATATGCTTTGCACACTCTAAGGCATTTATTTTATTTATAGTAGTAGTAGTAAAGGTAAAGGGACCCCTGACCATTAGGTCCAGTCGCGGAGGACTCTGGGGTTGCGGCGCTCATCTCGCTTTACTGGCCGAGGGAGCCGGCGTACAGATTCCGGGTCATGTGGCCAGCATGACTAAGCCGCTTCTGGTGAACCAGAGCAGCGCATGGAAATGCCATTTACCTTCCTGCCAGAGCGGTACCTATTTATTTACTTGCATTGAGTGCTTTTGAACTGCTAGGTTGGCAGGAGCAGGGACCGAGCAATGGGAGCTCACCCCGTCGCGGGGATTCGAACCGCCAACCTTCTGATCGGCAAGTCCTAGGCTCTGTGGTTTAACCCACAGCACCACCCTCGTCCCTAGTAGTAGTAGTAGTAGTAGTAGTAGTAATTAAATTTATGTACTGTCCTTCATCCGAAGATCTCAGGGCATTTCACAACATAAAAATACAGGATCAAAACACAAAATAAACAGCTAAACAAAAACAAACACATTCAAAAGGCGATAGAATATTAATCAGCCAAAGGTCTGTTTGAAGAGGAACATTTGTATAATTATTATTATTTTGTTGCTGCCCTTTGAAAACAGGATCCCCTTAGTTCCAGTGAGGGCTCAGAAAAGCAAAGCAAGAATCTGCCCTATACCAAAATCAGCCCATTGGTCCATAGCACAATACTATCTACATTTCTACACAAACTGGCACCAGCTCTCCAGGTTTTCAGCCAGGGGTCTCTGAGGGTTACCTGGAGATGCTGGGGATTGAGTTTGGCACCTTTTGTATGCAAATGTTCCAACATGGCCCTTCCTGTGTCCCTAAGAGCAAAGCAGCATATTAATTGAGTGCTCCAAGAAATACATTTTTCAGATGCTGTTTCAGCTTTCAATCCCTGCCAGGAGGCGAGGTGCGCAGAGAGTTTCAGAGAAGGGGGTGAAGCGAGAGAGAAAGGGTGAAACCATAAGCAGAAAGAGTATCCCAAGCTTTAGACAAGAGAAGAGTATCAGGAGAGCAGAGGTGACAAGCACACAAACAGAGATGAGAGATCGAGCTGATAGATAACAGCGAACAGATTCAAAAAACCAAAATAAAAAGCAGTAACTTAATATTGGATTATACGCGGAAACAGGATCCAGTGAAGGGAGAGTAACAAAGCAGAAACACCAGTACAATGAGATACAGGGCAGGGGAGATGGACAGCAAAATTAAGAAGAGAAGAGAGGAGGTGAAGTTGAGAAAGACAGCACTTAAGAATTGTCAAGGTGATTGGCAAAAGAGAAGGAGTATGATAATTAAAGGAGGAGGAAGGATCAAGAGAAGCTCCCCACCCACCCAAAGCGTGAAAGATGGGCAAATGCCACAAGAGAGTTAAAAAAATGAAACAACTATAGTAAAGGAAGAATGGTGAGCCCAAGAGATTTTAATAGAAGAGATAGAAAAGGATCAAGTGCATGAGTCATTGGTTTAGAACAAAGGTGGGAAACCTGAGACACATCCATACCCAGATCTGCTTGGACTGCAGCTCCCATCAGCCCCGGGCATCATGGCCAATGGTCAGGGATGATGGGAGTTGGAGTATTGCCACATGTGGAGGACCACCAGTTCTCCACCCATTTTAGAAGGGCAGGGGAATACAAAGAAAGGCCTTCAAAATAAATAGAAATGGAGAAGAAAACTGGAAAGGGGAGAGGGAATAGCAAACAGGAAAGTGATCTGAGGTAGGAAAGAAAGGAAGAGAATTAAAGAAACATGCATGATTAGTGGCAACATTATCTGCAAATAAATTGAAGAATGGTATGAGAAGAGGGGCATGGACGAAAAGATAGGTGGAGAAATGAGAGATGAAGGCGATTTAATAAACTCAGTGAAATAGACTTGCCCAGCAGAAAACAAGAGTGGTGGAATGCCTGCACCATGTGTTTTTTGGAAGCAAGACAACACGAGCAAAGACAGGGAAGGAAAGGGGCCAAGAAAGCAAAATAGGTAGGTGAGGGAGAAAGAATCTGAGTTTGTGAAGACCCATGTGGAAGAGAGTTCAAACACAGCAGAATGGGGGGTGGGGGAAGAATGTGTGGGGAGGAACATGTGCCTTATGGGGAAAGAGCTGGCTAGGCGGAAATGCGCATTTGCATCCCATCTGAAAACCCCTGCCTCTTCTCTTAGCTGTGGAAGTGAGCAAGTTCATTCCGGCCCAAACCATCCATCTCCTTCTGCAATCCCCTCCCAGTACAGATGGCTGCTTGGAAACGAATGAGCAAGGAGACTAAATATTTGTGCCTGCCTGCCTCTCTGCTGCCTGCTGACAGGAAAGTGGCTAATCAATAATAATTGTGAGAGCACATCTTGCATGCTGTCTGTCGGGACAAGCGACAGAAGCTTTGCCACAACTGTGGGTGTGAAGTGGCAGCAGCACCAGACAAGAGGCGACTGCGTGTGACAGCGTAGGACAGACACAACCCTGAAAATGTGAGTGTCAGGAGAACATGGCAGATAACCACTGAACATACAGCTGCCTGAACCACTAGAGGCACCCTACTCTTCTGTGATATACATTTGTACATACTATATATTGTCGTATGTGCTTCCCGGAGAGATAGAAAAGTTACAGGAGCACCCCTTTTCGTAAGGTTCATCCCTTGTTGCATAAAACACTGCAGACTTACTGTGTTGGTGCCGAGTCTGTCTATTTATGAATTTGCAAGATGGGCAAAGAGAAAGCAAGCAGCCACCCAGATGGACAGGGATAGTTGTTAGAGCAGAATTGGTTCCTTCCAAACCAACCACGTGTCCTTAGGGTATGTAGCCTTGACTCCAGGGGCTTCAGTCCACTCCGAAATCTCCCTAGGCCAGTGGTTTTCAACCAGTGTGCCTTGGCACCCTGGGGTGCCTTGAATGGTCAGGGGTGCCACAGGCAACAATGGCCCCCCATCCTGCTTTCCTTCCCTCCCTCCTCTGATGCCCTCTCGTGTCTCCACCTCCCAAAGCTTGTGCACCTGTTTGCTGCAAGCTGCTGAGGCAAATGTTGCCTCTGGGGCTGGCCAGGGGGGCTAGCTGCCAGGAACTGAGGCGGCCTCAGAGAAAGCAAGTAAGTGGGTGAGGGAGCCCAGCCAGCCAGTCTGCTGAAGGGGAGCCTTTCTGCCACGTAGGCCAAGGTGACTCCATGTTCGCCAGTTTCCACCAGGCCCCTGTGGGGCAGCATGAGCAGGCACCTCTCTTTGTGGGAGGGTGTGTGTGTTTGTGTGCCTCAGAGACCAGGGGCAGTGGCAGCTGTTGCCTGGAGGACTCCCAAGGAGAGGGGAGAGGAGAGGAGGCTGAGGGCACACTCCACAAGGGAGTGTGTTCAAAAAGAGGAGAGGGGCTGCCGGCTCTGAAGGCGTGACATAACTGGGCTTCTGAGGTTTGGAGCATGTTTCTCCACAAGGGAGCCACAGAAAGAATGTCGTTGGTCAAGGGAGCCGTGTACTCAAAAAGGTTGAAAACCTCTGCCCTAGGCGATACACCCCTCTTCCCAGGCCACATTCTTCCGCAGCCTTGTTCCACACCCTCAAGTGAAGTTACAGGGAACCAGACAGAGGGCCTTCTCAGTAGTGGTGCCCGCCCTGTGGAATGCCCTCCCTTCAGATGTGAAGGAAGTAAGTAGCTATCTTATTTTTAAAAGACATCTGAAGGCAGCCCTGTTTAGGAAAGTTTTTTAATATTTAATGCTGTATTGTTTTTAACACTCGATTGGAAGCTGCTCAGAGTGGCTGGGGAAACTCAGCCAGATGGGCGGGGTACAAAGAATAAATTGTTATTGTTATTGTTGTTGTTATTTCCACTTGGCTGGAAGGTGCCCTTGAACTGCAGCAGTGACTCTTGCCTGCCTGGATGGAGGTACCTCTGACTTCCACACAGCTGGAAAGCAGCCTACTCTACAAAGGTAGGTGTTGCATCCATGGCTCCACCCACATCTGCCCCTGGCTCCACCCGCCACTGGCATAGAATTATCGAGTTGGAAGGGACCCCGAGGATCATCTTGTCCAACCTCTGTAATGCAGGAATATGCCGTTGTCCTATACAGGGATTGAACCTGCAACCTTGATGTTATCAGCAGCACACTCTAACTAACTGAGCTATCCAGATCATGAGGCCATGGAAGGGGATGCGGTTCTTGGGCTGCAGAAGGTTCCCTACCCCTGGTCTCAAGAGCTTCCTACAAGTCATTTCCTTGCAGAGCTCGTTCATCCTCTTTTACAGACCAAATTCAAATTTCTCTTTCTCCTAGTAAGGAAATGGGAGCCACTGAAGAGAAGTATAACAAAGGAGAAACATGGGCAGAACGAGATGGGGGCAAAAATCACAGCTGACAGGTGTAATCTGCAAATTCCAGTCCTTTGGTATTGCCACAAGCAATCAAAAGCCACTAAGCGTGCGATCACAAATCAAGCCACACAGAAGTCTGGAGAGGTGGCAATCTCTCCACTTGACAGAGCACACTAGCATCCCTCTGTTACATACGCATATGCAAGCGCACAAACCCACTCTCAGACAAACCACACATGTGGCCTTGGGCCATCTTTGTCACTCTCTCATTCCATGAAAGTTTCTTCTGAGCTCTGTCGCCTCTGGCCAATGTAGGCTCAGTTTCCTTCTAGAACACTTAAGTTTCAGTCTTATTCTGGAATAGCCATCTTTCCCATCAGCCTTGTCCAATAGTGGTCACTCCCTAGGCAAGCAATGTCTTGTCAAAAGACAGCATGTCACCTTGGCATTTTAGAGTGCTCCCTTTCATACAGATTCTTACAACCATCCTCCTGCTGCTCTGGCATTTTTCTAGCCTATGAAGCAAGTACATGTAGTGATATTCATATACAATGGTGGTAGATGCTTTGTACACAAACCATGGCTTGCTGCTGCTATGAGGATGAGGCACACACATTGCTTGGCATTCCACTCATTAGTCCCATCAGCAAAAGGATTTCCATTTGTGCAATGGAACTTTCCCCCCTTATTGAATCCTGCACCCTCCCCAAATCTGCTCTGAAGGGTTGGGGGAACCCCTATAACATATATAGTGGGTGCACAGAGGAGGAGGGGGGAGAATGTTCAGTTGCATAAGCAGAAATTCTTGCACTGATGAAACATTCTCATTAGTGTTATGTTGGGTTCCACCCCATACAGTGTCATGACATTTGAGGCACAGAATAAGTTGCATTGAATTCAATACAGGTTGTCAACTTTCAGCTGCAACCCTGCATCCTTCATAACAGATGAATTCACTGACTCCAAAGCTCTGACTACCTTTCAGTCCAGCTCTATGAAATTATGTCTATTATTTATCAAAACACTTTGACACCTCACAGGCCGTTTGACATCTCTTTTCTCGTGCACAGGACTGGAGTGGATGATGCTCCTTCAAGCATTATAATTTTTCTCACTCCTCAGCATCAACATTATTATTATTATCAATGGATATTGGCTGAAATCCATTGACTTAAACCAGGGCTGCTTCAATAAGCACTGCCTTAAATGGGAATGGGCCTGGTCATAATGTGTCCTATACTTGGATACATTTCATCCCTGAAGAGCTTAATTGAAAATACCACAGTCAGGGAAAGAAATATATGAGCCTCATTATGCAGAAGAGAAAACAAGGGAATGAGAAATTAAATCACCATTCCGAGTCCACCGCAAAGGAAAGGTGGGCATGAAATCAAGTTCCAATCAACTTCAGATAGATTCTCAGGGCATCATCTGCTATCAACCTGTTCCCCAAGTAAGCAGTTATAAAGTAACATATAGCGCCGAGAATTAGAGTACCTTCAAAAGCAATAAATATAAAGCTGTGGCTTTCAATTGCTGGAGTCACCTGGGAGATTGTATCAGGGGCCCCTCAATGCAGAAATAAAGTAATGGCAGACATGCTATTCTGAAGGACAAAACATTGCTGACCATGTCCAAGTCTGTACAGCTACAAAAGTGTGCTGAACAGACACACCCTCACTTCATATGTGGTAATAAAAAGGTAAAGGGACCCCTGACCATTAGGTCCAGTCGTGGCAGACTCTGGGGTTGCGGTACTCATCTGGCTTTATTGGCCGAGGGAGCCGGCGTACAGCTTTCGGGTCATGTGGCCAGCATGACTAAGCCGCTTCTGGCGAACCAGAGCAGCGCATGGAAATGCCGTTTACTTTCCCGCCAGAGCGGTACCTATTTATCTACTTGCACTTTGACGTGCTTTTGAACTGCTAGGTGGGCAATATGTGGTAATAGGAAGGGCAAAAACAGCCTGGACAGAACCCCTTCTGCCACATGAACTGAACCAAGCTTTGGCTTGCTTCCTGTAGCTGTAATTCCAAACATACTGAAGAAAGTATGTCCTCATTCAAATGAACGTGACTTTGTCCCAAGTAAATCTTATTAATATCAAGCAGGGTTGCCTACAAAGCACTCTCTCGTGACCATTTAAAAAGCTGTAATGCTCCACGTGGTAGATGCCGAGCTCCAGCTAAAATCCCCCCCCCCCCCAGATTAAGAAGTCCACAAATGGAGCATAGAGAAGGGAAAAAGTAAAATTGTGCAGTTATCGCTATTATATTAGAGACATTATTCAGTACTGTAATTTTTTTTTTAAAGTTTTAGGAAGAAAAAAGAAAATTCTAGCAGCAAAGAATTGCTGTTTCAAGGGCTGAACAAGGGGGTGGAGGGTGGAATCCTGCACTGTACCTATATAACAATGCAAAACAGAGGAGCAGTGGGGAGTGTGGGTGGTGGATTTTAGAGAAGGACACTTAGGGGCCTGATGCAATGTAACTGGACAGACTGCAGCAGAGCTGAAAGAATTGCCAGAACAACAAACCGCCAGGACAACAAACAGGTTTCCAGTGCCTGAATCACAGTTGAATGGTCTTGTCTCCTTATCCTCTTAATTTGAATTCACACCTTTTCAGAACATTGGCAAAAGTCAGTTAGCTGGTTTGCTTTGTTTGCAATTCATAGATTTGCAATTTGCCCATTTGCAAGCTGTTATTTTGGTATTGAAGCTAACCAAGCTCTTGCTCAATCTCTCCAAAGCATGCAGCATATGGCTGAAACCTTGGCAATTCAGTAAGAAGTTTCAAAATATATATTAAAAAAAGGAATTTGCAGAATGCATGGCAATGAAGAAGCGCGGGCATGGTTCTTGCTTTCCTGTGCCTGGGATGGCTCTGTTTGAATTCACCACCCTGTACACTGGAAGTTTGTGTCTAATGTTTGCATCAGATACAAGGAATGCAATAGTGGATGTTCTTTGTTGTGGGCCCTTGTGCAAAATAGGGTATTGGGTGCCCCCTCCCAATTTAGTTTGGTTATACGCAAGTCTCCAATTACATTCCTCCTGACTGGCGATGAAATATTATGATGAAAAGTTATTCAATTAAACGTGAAGAACCTTCAGACTGTATAAAAATTATAGATCCATCTTTGTACGTAATATTAATTGGCATGAGAAAATTACATTAAAACATTACAATGATTACATCAATAACTTTAAACTTGGTTCAAAGAAAATCCAAAACTTTTTAACTTAAATGCAAATGAAAAAAAAAATGAGATGAGCAAACGCATCCATGGTTTTTGGAAAACCCATCTGATGTATGTGTTCATTTAAAAAGATCTTTGCATTTGCTGAGCCCCCCAGGGTCTGCAGACCCTCCTGTGCTGTTCACCCCCGTCCCCACCTCATAAGGACACAACTGAAGGAGTAAAAAGTTGGCAAAAGTTTAGGTTGTAGTCCAGCCACCAGCAAAGTAGCTATGCGGCTGAAGTGTCCCCAGCCTTTGCATCACATTTTACACACCGGCTAAGATGGCATTCCACATCTCTATTTGACATTCCTGCATCCTCCTCCTCTCAAGGTCACCCATCCCTCCACAAAATACTATTCATAGGTGATTGATGGGCCTGGCTGGAAAGCTATCGCTCGTCAAACTAATCTGCGCGGCATTTTCTTCCTGCAAATTCTGCCATTAGGCACTAGGACCCCATGCACAGTGCAGCCATCTGCTAGGCCCAGCGCACAACATGCTCACCTTGCTTGCTGAAATGGATCCGTCTAGAAGCTGACAGGCTCACGCTGAGAGCCATCAGGCAGCGAATGGAGAGCGCAGTATGGAAGTCCAATGCACTGTCAAGGTTACGAGTGCTGAGGCCTTCGTTTGGCAGCAAGGACACCCAGCTTCGCTTCCCCTTCCATCCCCCATTGCTAGGTGTTTGTTTGGATCAGAACTGTTGATATAGGTCCTCCATGGGTTCGTCAAACTCCCTATTCATGTGGGAGCACATAAGGGAAAACGATGGCTACCATGTAAAAAATGGGTGGTTTTGGTACATGGGTTTCTGGCACCTGTGGTTAAAAGCCAAGGCCTATCTCAGAGGACGAGATGGTTGGACAGTGTTCTCGAAGTTTGACCAAACTGTGGGAGGCAGTGGAAGACAGGAGTGCCTGGCGTGCTCTGGTCCATGGGGTCACGAAGAGTCGGACACGACTAAACGACTAAACAACAACAACATCTCTGTTTGAGTGGAGGCCACAGGCATAAGTAGCAATATGTAATGTTCTGAACAGAGCATTCGTGTCCCTGCACTAGCTCAGGTGCAGTCAACATGGTGCCCTCCAGATGTTGCTGAATCAACCCAAGACAGCATGGCCAGATGACTGGAGTTGTAGTCCAGTGACCTGCAGAGAGCACCTTGTCAGGCAAATCCCTGGACTGGCTCCTTACAGATCCCATCAGTGCCTGACCAAGAGACTCTGAGGAAGGAAGGAAGGAAGGAAGGAAGGAAGGAAGGAAGGAAGGAAGGAAGGAAGGAAGGAAGGAAGGGAGGGAGGGAGGGAGGGAGGGAAGGAGGGAAAGGAGAGCTATATGGGATGCCTGGTGGCTTTGGGCCATATGAACATTTTACTCTGCAGCTTTTAGGATTCACAACTCTATTGTAGAGCATGAGACTCTTGATCTCAAGGTCATGGATCCTAGCCCCACGTTGGGCAAAAGATTCCTGCATTGCTGAGGGCTGGACTAAATAACCCTCGTGGTCCCCTTCCAACTACAGTTCTATGATCACTCCTGTTCAAAGGAGTACAGTGGTACCTCGGGTTAAGT